ATTAAGCAAGCAATAAAAGGGAAACTTAAAAGATGGACTTTTGTTACCACATACAGGGTGTCCCAAAAAAAATGTATCAAACGTTTGATCGTTAATATCTCTCTTCTGAAGAAGTCTTTTCCCTTGCTTCAGGTACCATTCTGTAGAGCTGGCTTGAACTTAGATTCGCATCATAGAACGAATCACTCGTCTCTCTTCATTACTGTAGGATTACGGTAGAAACTTCAAAGAGGGTTTTAAGCAATGAAAGGTCATATTGTGCCTCAGAAAGGAAGCATAACAGCCTCAAAACTTTTACACTAGGCTAATTAGAGTTGCTGGTTATAACTGTAAAGTTCCCAACTAATTATGATGCTTTATTGGAGAGTTATGCCAGGTAAGAGGTAGCAGCCATTTTTTCAATGTTCCTGAAAAGTGCGGTTACACCGTTTGGAAAGCTTCGTAATCTTGTGAATAGTTGAGTATTCAACTCAGCGTCCATGAAAACCCCAATACACAAGTTTTCACGTTTTGTTGAAAAATTTTGAAACGGCAGCTTTTTCCACATTGACACCATATGTTTCAAGTTTCTACCGTAATCCTACTGTAATGAAGAGAGATGGGTGATTCGTTCTATAATGCAAACCTAAGTTGAAGCCAGCTCTACAAAATGGTACTTAAAGCAAGGCAAAAGATTTTTTGGGAAGAGAGATATTAACGATCAAACGTTCGATACATTTTTTTGGGACTATTTCATAATACATGTCCTATATTCAGATTATATTTTTGAAACTCTTTGAATCAAGTCAGATATCAGCGCAATGCTCAAAGCTGCGTACATGACGTACCCATAAGAGATGAACTCTTTGATCTGAAGGACAGATGCACGCACGCCCTCACTCTTCTTGCCATGATTAATCACATGTTTATGAAAATGTTACGCTCAAAGAATGATTGCCATCTCAAACTAGCTCGCGTCAGTCGTCAACTCTGATCAGATAAGGACGCTTGAGGTGAAGATGTTATGACAGGTTGATAAATTTGTGGGTTTTTGATTTCACATCGTGTGGTTCTGAAATTCACACCACACAAGGTGAGAAACTTGTGTTTTTACACGTCTGCTAAAAAGGGCAAAAAAGAGTGCTTATTCGTTTTCTCGTAATGGACGTTTTTCTTTCAAGTTGGGAGAAACTTCTGTACAACAGATAAAAGAAGATCATGATAAGAAAACCTTGCAGTCCGTGCTTGACGTTTTATCTGACAAGGAAAGGATACTAACTTAGATTCGCCTTTTGAGATGAGACGCATATGTTTAGAATCAGCTTTAAACGTTGATTCCAAATATGTTGTTCCTAGCTGCTTAGCGTGATTCCGGAGCGAGTTATGGGCTTGGCGTTGTGAGCAATTAAAAAACTTTTGAATGTCGTAAGACGGCGTGTAGATAAGAATGCGCTCGAAAAAAATGCTAGGATGTTAAACTAGCATCAGATTAATTCTTCTGATCTTGAAAGGGAGCATTATAAAATTGCAAAACCACCTAGACGTCGACACCGTAGCATCAGTAGGTCGAGAAGCACGCAAACTTTGCATAGAAAAGAGACCATAACTCGCTTCAGAATGGTGCTAAGCAGCTAGGAACAGCACATCTGGAATCAGCGTTCAAAACTGATTCCAAATGTATGTGATTCATCTTGAAAGTCGAATCTAAGTTAGTATCCTTTCCTTGTGAGTCCCATTTTTTGTTTTTGATAATAATACTCCTTACGCCAAAAATGCACCAAATCTAACTTTTTCGATTTTCGGAGCTACACCAGATTCAACATTTTGGAAATTTCAATAAACTTATATAGTAAAGTATAGTTGAAGCAATAAGCTATTCTCTCTCGCAAAGAGTCTTCTTTAAAAGAAGGAAAGTTTGCTGCAACTCCACGGCGCAGAGTTACTTGAATTTAATCACTAAGTCAGTTCTTTGCCTCTCCCCATGTATGACTATTTAACCAATTTTCAACTGACTTTTTCCGTGCTTTACTTCATCGATAGGATTCTTGCACTTTGAAATGAGCTGCGCTTCTACCTTGCCAAGGAGTACTTAATCATTCGTCTAGTACGGTATGTCGCAGCTGCCACTGGGGCGCAACCGTAATTGTTTGGAAGCAAGATGGAAACTTGTTTTGAACTGCTACTCTGCCCAAGCTTCCCCTAAGTGATAATGGTAAAAAATATTAGCGTTTAAACTTGACTATTGCGTAACAAATATCTTCTAGACAAACGTAGGTCAATCATTACCTCATTTGAGCGATAAAACCGGAACGATAATGTGATTAAGAGAACAAAGTGAGTTACATCTTGACGACTGTATCCCTACGGCAAAGGAAATTTTTTCACAGGAATTACGAGAGTCCGAAGTCGAAGCTCGGAAACTCCGTGGCTACTTTATGATCCGGCTGAGACACAGTTGTCAGTATCAACGACTACACAATCTCTCCAAAAGTCTCTCACCTTACAATATCTACAGGGTGTCCGAAAAAATGTGCACACTGTTTGATCTTCAATAACTCTCCTATCTCTACATCTTTTGTCGTACTTTAGGCATCATTTTGTAGAGGTGGCTTCAAAATGGATTTACAGTATGAAGCTAATCTCATATCTTTCTTCTATACTGTAGTAGGATTACGGTAGGAACTTCGAAGAGGTTCCAAGCCGCAGAAGTCGCATTTCGCCCCGAAATGAAACCAAACAGGCCAAAAACTTTCACACTAGGCTAAATAGAGTCGCTGATTAGAGATATGCAATTTGCACGCTACGGTTATGATTTCTTAACAAGTTATTTCAGGAAAACTTAACAACTGTCTTCCAATGTTCTTCGAAAATGTGACTACAGCTTTAAAGAGACTCAGAATTTTTGTAAAAAGTTGCAATCAGCACGCTTCAAAACCCTGCTAACAAGGCTTCAGATTTTTTCGGATTTAATTCTATCTAACGGCCTAATACGCAATGACTCTGTATGCATCGCTTCAACTTAGATTTACAGCATAGAGCGAAACTCCTATCTCTCCTTGCTAGGGTAGCATGACAGTATACAGAATGGTATCAGATCGGCGAAAGACATCGAAGCCAGCGAGTTATTAGTGATCAAACAATGTGCACATTTTTTTTTGGGACACCCTGTATAATGAGGCTGAATAGATCTCCAAATTTCCAATCGAACTGAGTAGCTAGAAGACTGCGAACTTTATGGTTTGTCAAGGTCATAGAAGTACATGCTCAAGCTTTGAGACCTTGTGGAAAAAAGGTTGGGGTTATGGTAGACATAGCTGAGACGTTGTAAAAAAAAGGTGGAGTACCATGTTGAACACAGCAGTGATACAAGAATGGAAACGGGTTCGTAACTTTGTCCAGCCTATGCACTAATTTTTTGAACTTTTCTACATTGCTCCAGCCAAGACGACGATATCGAGAGCCGTCATGGAGAACTCTAGTGCATTGGCACTTACATATAAGAGCAGAATTACACAAAATTTCGTTGACAATAAGGCAGAATACGATGATTGGTGAATTTATAACTTCCAGCACTATAAACCCAAGAAATTCACTTTCCAGCGTATTGATCATCAAAGATCTTGCGCGTAAGGTTTACTCCACATACCTTACACTTAACGACGCAGATGAAATACTCGAAGACTTGGGCGATCGTAGTCGTCCTTGCATATCAAAAAATCTTGGTAAAGTGTTAGGTATTCCTGGAGAAGACAGTTTTGAGTTGTGCCATGATTACGCAGTGTAATTGCCAATCTACTGTTTTGGCATTTCAAGGATCGTTTATAGGCGATCTCCGGTTGAACAGAAAATTATAGATTTGTCATGCAAAGCTAGGCTTTTTCACAAACCCATCAAGTTGCAGAAGTTTATCATGAAGCTAAATTTGGATGAGAAAACTTGAAAGAATCCTGTCATAGAAAACAATATGAGCCCGGCCACTCTCTAATAACTTACGTGTCACGACGCGAATGCTTAGATGGATGTGGTAGATATCGGTGAGATCCCAGATCTGCAATCCACGGTGCCAAAATTAATTGTTTAAGTCTTATTAGGTCAGAACAGGAAAAATGTAAATTTGTTTCACATGCTGGTCAGAACGGCACACCGCCGTGTGCACACTCCTCATAACAAAAAAGAGAAGTTCAAGGTTTTGCTATGAAAATGTACTTACATCCCTGCAATCCATTTTTGGCCTTCTTCTTGAAGGTGCAAAATAACCTACTTTCCGTTTTTTAGCTCTTCGAAGCTCGTATGCGGATGAGCTTGAAGATGCATGGCAGAAAGTCGGAGCGGCATTTGAGGTTTTTCAACACCGTCTTCAGTGAGCAGTTGGATATTTTCAATATTGAAAAGACAAATTACTAATTCATCAATTGCTAGCAGTAGCTCAGTCAGTGCATTTTTCTATCATTCCTAGTAATCAAAGATACTTCTCGGATCAACTTCTTTCCTTGTTGATTATATCAATGTCTCTTAAAAAAATCATGTTTTCGTTGCGCATTACTCATCAAAACATCCACTGATGTTGTAGTCACCCAGCTGCTATGACACTTCTACATATTTTAACGATGCGAAATCATCTTTGTTTTTGATGCGTAGGATTTTGCACTAGAGAAGAATCTGTAGCCTCCTCAAATATATTGTCAGTGACTCAGTGGTCTTGACCGTTTAAAAACATGTTTTTCTCAATGGGTCTTATCATTTTGAGGCGTCTTCAAGGTCCAGGTGAGGCAGCTTTTGTAAGTGTGTTTAATGTCTCATTTTAAATAAAAGAGGAAGAGTTATTTTAGTAGAATTTTCTTGCGCTAGTTTTTCAGACTTCCTCAAAGTAAGGACGGGTGATAAAGCAATAGCCTACCTCTGCGGTCATTTTATCAACTTATAAAAGTTGTACGCAGTAAGCATATGAGGATTGTTAGCGATGGATTCGGAATATCTGGCAAGTTGCCAAATCGCGTGCAGGCCTATAAGATTACTGACTTGGAGCGCGCTAACGATTTCATATAATTATATAAATCTGCTGTTAATGATATCAAGTGTCGTATTCGAATTGTCTATTGTTTGATATAGAGAAACTAAGACTTTTATTCGGTGCTACATTAAATGATTAGTGCTTAATAAACGACGCAAGTCTTGGGGACCTCAATGGTCTCAACGAAGGACACTGGATAATGGTGGAGGTCGAGAACGGTGTTGTGGACTTTGTGAAGGAGTTTGCGGGCTTCTTGAGACGTGCGTTTGAGGCAGGTGAAGCGAACCTTCTTCTCCTCGACGACACCCATTTCTTCATTGCGGCGGCAGACACGCACTGGTTCGGTCGAGAAGCATACACGTTCGGAGAACTCCATCACATGGTTTCTCTTGAGAATTTCTGAATAGTTATCATTATATGGTTGCTAGCTCACTTAAGGGTGCATCCTGAGTGGGCGTGCCAGCGTCGTGCCAGCGCCGCGCTAGCGCCAATGTCCACTTATTAATGGATTGCCGTTCCTACACGGCACTAGCTCGGCAACTCACGGGCAACTCTAGACGCATGTAAGCTATATCGTACCCTCTTCCTCCCATTTGTCCTTGCGGGTGCGTTCCTCATTGAAGATGATGTCAAACTCGTCCTCATCGCGCACGCGTTTCTCCTCAACCTTGTAGTGTTTCCTCTCGTTGAGCAGGTCCTTCTCTACTTTGCACTAGAAGAGATTCATGAATTTGCTAACTTTACAGATATCCGTCTGGTACCTCGTCATCAAGGAGGTAGGACTTGTGGAATTCCATGATATCATGAGTGCGCTCCATCTTCGGCGTCAGGAACTCATTGTCCCTCTGCAACCTTCTAACTGTTCTCTTCGCTCAAATCATTAGGAGAATAATCACCTCTTCGTCGTAGTGTCCGCAGAGACCGCACTGCTTCTCAATCATGTGTTTGCCCATGTAGACCTTGACTGTGTATCCGTCGAAGCGGACTTCAACGTGCTCGAGTTTCACACGGACCATGTTCTCCTCCATCATTTCAATGCTATAATTGTAAGGGTCCCTTAGGTTGCGAGATTTGCTGTTTTGTACTGTAACATACTTGTATCTCTCCAGCTCTTCCATGTTGATTCTCTTGTTGTCGACGAAGACCTTTAGTCTCTCATCTTCCATTTCAATTCTGATCACCTCTTCGCGCTCGTTAATGATTTTGAGTACCTGCAGATTGATTTTCTAGTTGTTATTAAGAAAGAACATAAAAAGCTAACCTTCTCCTCCGAATCCTTCCTGAGTTTCTTGACAAGTACAGCGAAGCGTTGCTCCTCAGTGCAGTCCTTGGCAATGACATGGTAGCAGTTGGTGAGCGGGGCACGGAAGACGACGTCGTCGAAGGTCCTGACCTTGTTGCTCTTGACTTCGCACACGCGTTCCTTTACCATCTCATCGCGGATGTCACGAAGAGTCCTCCTGGCGATTGAGGGAAGGTAGAGTCGTGGGACGTAGAAGTCGTGCAGCTCCATCTGCTCATAAGGAGTCTTCAGGACGAAGTTGATCAGGTTGCGGCTCACGGGGTCGACATTCAGTTTGAAGAAGAGGCGATTGCGTTCGTTTGTGACCTTGGTGACTCTGCAGTTCCACAAGGTGTAACCTTTAAGGAAGTTGTAGATTCTCTCGAACAGGTGCTCGTAGAACGGCGTAAGTTTGTACTCAACAACGGTCTTGAATTGGTTCAGGCGCGCTGCCTTGAGGAGGAGCTCATAGGCATTGAGTCCCTTGTGCTCCTTCTCAAGCAGTTTCAGCCATCTTCTCTGGTGCTTGTCCTGTTCCAGCTGGATCTTCATCTTGAGCTCGTTCCACTCGCCTTCTCCCCATTTCATCTCAACAAGTCCCTGGATTTCGCGGTGCACCTGCTCCTTGAGCTCCTTCAGGGTCTTCGGCATGTGGGGCAGGAGGAACTGGATCTTGGTGTTGAACCTCCACTCGTTCCTCTCGTCACGCAGCATGGGAGTGCGTTTGCCTTCCACATTCAGCTTGCAGTAGCGGAGCTCCTCGTCGCAGATCGTGACCAGCTCGACCTCGCCGTAGTGGCGCATCGTGTCGACGTTCTCGACCCTGAGGTGCATGCGGTGCTTGTATCCTTCGGACCTCTCGACGTCGCGGATTCTCTTCTCGAATCTGTCACGGCGGTCTCTCTCCTCAAGTCTCTCATACTCGTTCTCTTCAATCTCAAATTCCTTCTCGAAGAGGTTGGTGAAGTCGGGCCTTTCCATTCGGAAATTCTCGATCATTCCACTTGTGAAGATAAAGCGGATCTTCTTCGGTGTGTGCTGTGTTGGCATCATGACAAACTCCCAGTCGTACTCTCCAAGAAGAACATTGCGCATGTTCCACTTGTTCAGCCAGTTTCCGCGGAGGACAGTTCTGATTCCGGCGATCTCGAACACCCTTTCCTTCTCGTTGTGTGTCTTCCACATTGGAAGCAGTACAGTCCTCTGCTCCTTCTCGAGGAAGTAATCATTCTTGCCGCTCAAGAAGCGGAAGAAGACCACTGGGCGGGACATGACGCGGAGAAGAGTCGTCTCCTCTGTTGGGATGTTCAGTGTGTATGTGAGCTTGTACTCCCTGTCGTACACCATCTCCATGACGAATTTGAGTGGGATGTGTCCCTCAATAGTACGGACGACCTTGACACCCTGTTCGTAGAGTGGGTTCCACAGCCTCATCTCATGCACCTTCGTGGTGGCCAGCGTTGGTTCGGTGTCTAGGAAGACTTTGAGACCGTCGGTGACCCTTTCAATTCTGAACTCTCCTTCCATTGAGAACACAGTTGGCATCTTGACCTTGGTGATGAGTGGCAGACCAATGGTGGTTGGGATCTTCTTGATGGTCTCGAAGAGGAACGTAAAGGTGTGCAGCTTGAACTCTGGATCACGATTGAAGAGGCGGTCGAGCTCCCTGGTCTCAAGCGTTCCTTCTCTGATGTACTTCTCCACAAGATCATCAATTATTTCCTCGTTGATGGGCAGGACAGCATAATCCATGTCTTTGTAGCGGAGGTAGAGCATGACGAGAGGAGTGCGGGTGTCAACGACACGAGGACGGATGTTTAGCTTCTTCGCGATCTCCTTCAGGATGTTCATCGATTCGCGAATGCGGCGTCCGCGAACAACAGTTTCTTCTTCCCTTTCCATTCTGACAAGTTTGCTAGTGATCTTCTCAATCAGTTTCTCGATATTCTGCTGTGAGAATCCGAGCTGGAAGAGGTACTTGTTCCACATTCCGTTGAAGACGGTGTCAAGTGACATCATGACTTCCTTTGGCCAGACAGAGTTCTTTCCAAAGATCGTGGCGAAGTCCATGTTGATGCCGCTCATAACGTCCTCTGTGAACATGGGGATGTATCTGTAGGTGCTAGTGAGCAGGCGCTCTCCACGCACGTAGCGGGTCATCTCCAGCAGAGGTCGGATCTCCAGAGCCAGCTTCTTGTAGCAGGTGTGGGTGGTGTGGACGAAGGAGTGGAGCAGGTCGTAGGTGAACATGGCTACTTGGTGGTTCGGATCGCGCTCCATGGTGTGGATGATCTGGGCAATGACTGGCTGGTGTGGGAGAGTGTGCATGATGCGGACAAGAGCTGCCATTCTCAGTTCCGGCTCCTCATGGCGGTCCTTGTAGATCGGCATCAGGATGGACTGGATCTTGCGTGGCATCACTTCTCTGAGAAGGCGGAGGGCGTCGATGGCCTCCATGCGCACAGGCAGTTCTTCGCGCCTGTCCATAATGATCTTCTCGAGTTCGTAGGCAGAGATGTCGAGTCCGGCATTGGCCAGCCATTTGAGGCAGAGCACCTTCTCGTAGGTGTTCTTAGCTCTTTCATACTCTCTCTTGAAGATTACGTTCACATAATGCTTCTTGTAGCGGATCCTTTCCTCTTCCGGGAAGAAAATCATCCTTTCCCTCATGATCACTTCGTCCTTGGTGTGTCCGACGACACCGCGCATCATCGATCCGATAGCGAGCCAGGTAGCCTGGCGAAGAACTGGCGAACGCTTGACGACATCTCTCTCAAGGAACTTGAACAGTTCTTCAACAGTCAAGTACGATGGGTATGGCGTTTCTTGGATAGACTTAAGAAGATGCACAATTCTGTAGGTCGGCATGGTCTCCTTGTACATATGCTTGAGGAGATGAGTGATGGTGTTCTTGGTTCCGGCGATCGAAAGGCAGTGCTCGATCAGGTGCTTGACGCGCACATCATCAGTCATGTAGATTCTCTCATGGACCATTTCGAGCTCCTTCATGGTGCACATGCGGAAGACAGAAACGAGGCGAGAAAGCAGATGAGTGGTCTCGTGCTTGTTCTCACGCATCTTCTTGATCTCTTCGATAATGTTCTCGATTTCCTCGAACTTATTGTGAATGTCTTCGTAGGGGAGGACTTCAACCTTATCGCCTTCTATGTAGAATTGTTCAATGCGTCTCTCGATTTCATTCGAGTAGATGAGATCTTCTGTCTTGTCATTTTTCCACTCGAAGATGTCGCGAAGCTCTTCTGTGCGCTCCAGAATGATGCGAGCGCGAATCTCCGTCTTCATCATCGGCTGGTTCTCCATCGTGACGGTGTAGACAGAGCGAACATCGACGTTCTTGATTCCTTCCTTTCCAAGCAGATAGGTGTATACAGTAGTTGGTTCAAGGACATTGTTCTCCTTGCAGTCACGACACTCGGTCAGGTAGCGGAAGTTATACATGGTGAGTGGGCGGTGAGTGCACTTGTTGAAATTGACGGACTTGGTCACCTCAGTGATGTCCTCCTCCCTCCTGACGATCGTGTACGCCACCTCACATTCGCCTTCGATTGTCCTCTCTACGGCGGTGAAGTAGTCATTGTTGAGCTCGTGAACGTTCTCATATCGTTCCATGTTCGTTTCGTCTGTGCGTCCCATCTTGTGCAGGTTGAGCTGCAGCATGTTGATGATCGAGCGCTTCATGTTCATCGACCAAGTTTCGTCGTTGTTGAAGAACTGCAGCTCAGATACCATTCCATTTCTGTAGGCAAATCTCACCGGCAGCTCGAGAAGTTCGAGATGTTCCCTTGCAATTGTGCGGAGCTTCAGGTCTTCGATGTTCTTGAAGACCTCCTTGCGCTCGTCCTTTCCAGTAGCAAATCGCACATTTTTCAGCTTGAGGATGGCGTAGTGATCGTCGAGAGTCTGGACATGCACCATCGACTCGAAGCGCGAGATTTCAGTGTCAGTTGGTAGAGGGATGCCGGTGTGGACATCTCCTTCGAAGCGGAAGATGTATTCAGTGCGAGGCTTCAGGAGGACTTGGTCCAAGGTGGTGTGGACCGCAAGGGCCACACCAATCAGGACTAGAGGGGCAAACCTCATGGTGAAGTGAAGAAATCATCTGCGCACCTCTTTTAAAGGGAACGCTATCAGTTGATATCTGCAGATTGACACCTGCCTTTCCTGAGCAAAAACGCTCAAGTGTCCATCTCTATGTGTTTATTGGAGTATATTCTGCCATGCTGTCAATATTTCTGGCGCCAGCCTGTAACTAATTTGGACATACTGCTACTGGCTCGCAAAGGTCAAAGGACGAATCCTTGAAGCTCAGAATAGCGCCGAAACCTGGGAATTGAGATGATCTATCACTTTTGGTTTTTTACAGTCATAGTTATCTCATACAAAGCATCTAATTATGGATGACCTCTACGCAGCGATGAGTATCAGCCCCACCTCCTCCGCCTCCTTCTCCTCCTCTCTCACCGGCTCTCGGAGGTCTTTGTCCAGTGTGCAAACACACGAGTAGCCATAACATGGCTCTCCTCTTCGAAGACCCAAGTATTTGCTGATTATCGCCAATTTATCGCAGTACTCAAATATTCCGACAACTTAGCATAACTTACATCCGACACATCCGAATTCCACAGTTTTTGATGGTTCTCTGCATGTTTTCGTTTCAACGAAATTTTTTGTGATTTATCCTAGCTGATTGGCACCTTCTATTTTGTACATACCTTTACAGGGTAAGAAAACATGTTATGGACTGTCATTCTAGCATCAGCTGTCACTGTATGTGCATCACACGGTGCTGTTCGCAATCGTAAGTTTTTGTTAGCTATCAATAATGGGTCTGATTGGGACCTATGTATTCAGATCATGTTCATGAATCTTATATTGCAAAAAGCTTCATCTAATTTTGGGTTATAGATTTGAACCATTGTAAGCAAAGCAGGAACTCTAATGTTAGTCTCTAAGAACGGCTGGTGGTCACTTCGCCCACTAAAATTCGAGTGTTTGCTTCTCTTGCAGCGCAAACTTATCGAAAACTGCAAATTCTGCAAAGTGCAACTCTTATAAGAAGAGTTGCGGAGTCTTGAAAAGCTCTATAGAGAAAGTCTACACATCCTGAACTGAATTCACTTCTCTAATGGACTCTAAGTCGTTTCATTTCACACCTCTCACGATCCAACATCAATCTACACTCTATTTTCACTTGGTCAAGTACATCACGACATCTGCTTGGGGACAACAATGCGTACACGAGAATTTATACACAACTCAAACTTCGAGACGTTTTCCATCGTCCATTGTTTAGCATTTCCAAAGATCATTTCCATAGATGTTGGCTCTATGGTAGCCTGACTCTGGACGGACCTGTGCATCCAAAAATAACCCAATGGTCGACCCGGTACTGTAATTGCCTGAGCAGGGGCATAATGATAGTTTTAAGTGCAATTACCGATGACCCGTATTGTTTTGCGCAACATTCATCCTGTCCACAAACAATAAGTAAAAAGAGCAGCACGACCCCGGACCCGCTTACGTAATCCTTTGTACCGGCGACTACTATCGGTAATACTTTTGAATTAGGCTGAGAAATTGAAAGAAGGGGGGACAACGGAAATTTTCTGAGTTCTTCGTTTACAGACTCAACCGAGATCATTCATCGCGATCTTTCACAGTATGCTAGATCTCCAGTGAAAAGTGACTACTTACGGCCATGCTATTTCACCAACTGGGCGCAATACAGGTAAGATGGAAGTAAAGAGAGGGAGCGCATAGAATTCGAGATGTTTTAGGAATGGTCGAGGGAAATACATGCCTGAGGACTATGTTCCCGGCTTGTGCACCCACATACTTTTCGCATTTGGATGGATGAACGAAGACTATACTGTAAGGTGGGTTGGATTTTGTGGTGATCTGTAATGAACTGGAAACTGAGCAGCCCCAAATTTATAAATTTGTAAGCGATTGATTTGCTACTGAATATTTTGCAGAGCATTTGATCCAGCTGATCTACCGAATGACTGGGCTGGAGATGGTATGTATAAGCGTGTTAATGCTCTGAAACGTATAGATCCTGGACTCAAAACACTCTTATCCATTGGCGGATGGAGCTTCGGAACACGTTTGTTCAAGGTGAATCTAGCTTGAAAGTGCTACTTGTAGCATAAGTTCCCAGTACAAACAATTCTCAAAATATCGATCTAGGACATGGCTCAAACACCAGTCCGTAGAAAGGTCTTCATCACCTCGGCCATCGCATTCGTTCGCAAATGGGATTTCGACGGTATCGATATTGATTGGGAATATCCCTCTGGGCCAGATGACGTCAGAAACTATGCCAGCTTCATACAAGTAAGTTAAGGAAGATAAAATAAAAGTTTAGTGAAGAATACTATCTTTTTCCAGGAACTCCATGATGCTTGTGTTGCTGAAGCTGCTCAAAGTTCTATGCCACGTCTTCTAGTTACTGCTGCTGTATCTGCTGGAGAAAGCACAATTGACGCTGGATACGATGTGCCAAGCATTTCAAAGTTCGTCAAATTCCATGTTTTTCATTATGGACTAACTTTATGAGAATTCTGCAGCTATCTTGACTTCATCTTGCTGATGAACTACGATTTCCATGGTGCATGGAGCATGGAAACTGGCTTCAATTCACCACTATACTCAAGAGAAGATATGCCAGAAGCCGAGAAAGTTTGGAATGTTGTAAGTTTTATCATAAGAAAATTCAGATATGATAAAAAATTTTGCCATGTGCTTATTCTCAGGACTGGGCCGCTAATCACTGGTACACGAAAGGCATGCCAAAGCAGAAAATTATTATTGGAATTCCAACTTATGGAAGAGGTTTGTACATGAATTGAATGTATTGGATAAATCCGTAATAGAACTCGTTTAGGATGGACACTAAAAGATCCAAAGAATTTCACTGTTGGTACTTTGGGATCGCCAGCGAGAATTACTCCATTCACTCAAGAAGCTGGTGTAGCATCCTACTATGAGGTTAGAGATGCGACTCAATTGAATAGCTGCATCATTGACTGCACTTTTCGCTCACTAATTTGAGAGCTTAGGTTATTCTTCACCTCTGATTTTCAGTTCTGTGAAATGCTGGCTACTGGTGCTACTCGTTACTGGCATCCTGAACAACAAGTTCCTTATCTTGTACAGGGTGATCAGTGGTGGAGTTATGATGATGAGGAATCTATTAGCAACAAGGTAATTCTAAGGTCTCAGCCTTTCTTGGAGAAAAATACAGTAGTTTTTAGATTGCTTGGATCAAACGCAACAAGTATGGAGGAGCATTTGTGTGGACCCTAGATTTCGACGATTTTAACGCAAAATGCTCGAATTCCAACGGACAGCTTTACCCACTGATCAGTATCATCGCTAGGGATCTTGGTGGTGTCACCATTCCTACGGTAGGCACATAAACCATTTGCATCATTTTGCTTCAAAGTAGAAATAGAAACAGATGTATGTGAAAAGATATTAATTGAAATGCGCCCAATGAAAAATTGGCTAAATAGGAATATCCGCGGTGACATAATTCATATCTAATGCCTGGGTAAAGGTGGCGGAAGAATCACAAAAGTTGTAGCTTTTCTCTGGAAACTTTTGTTCTGAAATTACTCCGGAGAAGGTTCTTCATGTTGAAGATAGTTTGTGAAATGGTTTCTGGTGATTGATCTACGATCATCGTCCGGTCAAGGAATTCTCACCGGCGCAAATTTTGGAAGTCGAGAAGCAAATCCAGTTGCGCAGCTTGTTCTGAGGTTTTAATACCTTCAAAAAACATTGATGCAAAGAGATGCTTTAGGTTTTCTGTCTTTGAGTGTCAACTTTCAAAGTTCCTGCAAACGCAATTACGAGCACCAAATTTGTAATTCGGCAAGTCAGAGAAAATTTTTTCGAAAGCATGTAGAAATGGTTGCTCAATTCCGCAAAGAAAATTCCTGTTTATTAAGCATTCTGATAATCTTCTCTCACTTGATTACATATTCTTCTCCACTTGAAGTATGCCGTTGAAATTTAGACAAAAAAGATTATCGTATCTGCGGTGTTTATGATAAGATTCAAGTTTTTATTTCAAAGTTATCCAAGAGCTGAGCTTGCTGAGAGCAGTATTTGTCGCGCAAGAACCATCAACCAGAAATTCCATTTCGTAAATCGTAAATGTACACATGGGCGGAAAGGTTTGTAAAGGCAATTCAGGATGCGATCTTGGTGCGGAATTGACCAAATAACGTATATCCCGGAAGAGTAGCCACGGTTTTTGGGTGTAAATACACAAATTCAGAAAGGAACTCCTACACCGATTATTCCGACTTCCACCTCGACTACTTCCACAACCTCGAGACTTTCAACAATGCCCAGCACTGCCCCGGCTACCACGACCGCAGCTTCAACCCCAGCTCGTCCTGTTCCTTCGCAGTCGTGCGAAGGAAAGCCAGACGGTTTCCACGCCTTGGAAAACAGCTGCTCTCAATTTCTTCTTTGCCTCGAAGGTGACACAGACTTTGATCTCTTGAAACACCCTTAAAGATCTTATTTCCAGACACCGGTTACGTCATGTCATGTCCGGCTGAGCTGCATTTTTCTCGTTCGCGAGGTTATTGTGTGCGGACTGCTGACTCGGACTGTGCACCGGCGACAACCGTCACGTCCACATTAGCAAGCACAACAAAAACATCGGGGACTGGTGAGTCGTCTGTCTGCTCAGCTCTTCAGGAAGAAACTGGTGCTGGTTGCTTAAAGAATGGGATTAGTAGCGACATTATCTGCAAAAGATTATTCAAAGAGAGAACTCTGATAGCCCGAGCACAGAAGCATATGAGAGTCCATGGACAGGGCTCGGTACGAGCTGGCACCAGGGAAATTTCAAAACGAAGTCCCTTTGATCTTAAAATCGTACGAAGTCCCCTTTGCGTTACTTAAACCTAAAAAGACGAAACGTCGACTAAAAAACGTCGCAATTTTTGTGTCTTCAGCCAAAAAGCGATGTCCCCTTTGCTTTTTGTCCCAAAAACGATATCCAGCTTGACCCGAGGCCAACTGTGCAGAGCCTTCTCCATAAATCTTGCACCAAAGCAATGCGTTCCAGAGATGTTCAAAAAACCTTTCTATGTATATCATATTTTTCATAAATAAATAGCAAACGCTTTATTTTACTGTGCATACTAAAGATTTCTCACTTTAGAAGATAAGGCTAAACCTTAACTACAGTGTTAGCCCTTCCAGCAACTTCAGTGATTGAAACCAAATCTAAATTTGTATCTCGTGAAATGCCGACGCATATTTCGGCTTTCATTATAGAAAAGCACATGATTTTTTTCATCTGACTATATTGGAAACGAATTTGTAGCAGAGATTATCACGTATTCTCAGTTTCTGTGCAAGACTTGTGAACTGAATCAGCATTTTCTTGGTGGCGTTCATTCTTTGTTGAATGTCTGTTTGAAAATAAGCGGTACGAGTTCGGCTTTCGGCATATGACCATAAAAAGGCTGTGGCAATATATTGTTCTGCTTTATTGATTTCTAGTTACTCAAAAGCACCGTCAACGCAAACTCTATGCTCCCCCATTAGTACCTGGTCTACAAGATGGCCTTAAGACTACGTTGGTACGGTCCTCTGAGATAGCCTCTGAATGAAGAAAATGGACTTGACACCCAGAAAGTGCCATCAAGCCACGCCTGCTCTGTCAAGCTCCGCCCACCCAAGTACCGAAAGTTGTCTGCGCCTTCAAATAGGGCTACCTAGAAATCGGGTTTTCGGGGGTTTTGCACATTTTGCACTTCATATATGTAATCAGAGTCGCAAGAAGACCCTAGAATGACAAAAACGTGTAAGACGAGAATTTAGATGGATGCTTTAAAAAATTTTCCCGACATCATGAAAATGTGAAAATGTTTGCACTGCCTGAGAAGAAATAAAAAGAATCAATGGTGACAAAGCTAAAGCTATTTTCAGAGTGTTGCGCTGGTGTAGAGTTTTGCTTTTACTTTTACTTCAGGTAGAGTGCATCTAACAAGGGAAGTCACTTAACTTAGGTCGGGCTTTCGAAATGAGACACAGATGTTTGAAATCAGCTTGAGTCGCTGACTTCAAATCTGCTTTCCTTAGCTGCGAAGCATTCCTCTGAAGCGAGTTATAAGCTTTTTTAGTATGTGCCATTGACATACAACTGAATATGGAAAGAGGGTCTTTAGATGAAAATCTGCCCAAAAAGTGGTAGAAAATCAAAATAACATCAAATTGAGTCATTTGGCTTTGATAGGGTATAATATGCACTCGAACCACTGCCTAGATGATGATACCGTAGCATGCCTAAGTCGGTCAACACCAAAATTTGCTCGAGAAAAAGCTTATAACTCGCTTCAGAGGAATGCTTCGCAGCTAAGGAAAGCAGATTTGAAATCAGCGACTCAAGCTGATTTCAACCATCTGTGTCTCATTTCAAAAGCCCGACCTAAGTTAAGTGACTTCCCTTGTATGCCAAAAATATTAGGTTGTCCCGAAAGTTCGTTCGCACCATATTCAAAAAATCATAACTTCTTTGCATCATAACGATTTTGCGCAATTCAAGTTTTATTAGATAGCGTAAATCATGTAGTTTCCAATATTCCCCTGGCGACTTTCCAGCATGTTCAGATTGCAGAGATAACAATGAAAGAACGAGAACATCCGAAATTCGGAATTTTTGAGCAAAAATTCTAAAAATCTAGAAACTGCGCAATAAAATCCAGAAAAGCCATTATCATAATTTTTTTATATTTGATTACTAAGTGAGTTAAGTTTGTGCTGATCGAGATCTTCTTTAAAAAGTTATGATTTTTTGAAAAAAATGCCGAAAAATCGATTTCTTAAGAATTCTTAGGAAATCGATTTTTTGGCATTTTTTTCAAAAAATCATAACTTTTGAAAGAAGAGCTCGATCAGCACAAACCTAACTCAGTTAGTAATCAAATATAAGAAAATTATGATAATGGCTTTTCTGGATTTTATCGCACAGTTTCTAGATTTTTAGAATTTTTGCTCAAAAATTCCGAATTCGGATGTTCTCGTTCTTTCATTGTTATCTCTGCAATCTGAACATGCTGGAAAGTCACCAGGGGAATATTGGAAACTACATGCTTTACGCTTTCTAATAAAATTTAAATTGTGCAAAATCGTTATGATGCAAAGAAGTTATGATTTTTTTAAAATGGTGCGAACGAACTCTCGGGACAACCTAATACTTATGTTAGAACTCACTGGATTTGATAGAAGTATTACTGCCCTTTTTCATAAAACCGTAAAATTGATGCACATTTTTATGAAGAAAAACGATCATAAAAGTTCTAAAAACGACTATTAGCGTTGTTGTGGAACTGTAAACTTAATTACAAACCTAAACCATTGAATTTAGCTTTCAACTGCAAAGCGGATGGATTTTATGCCGATGAAGAAAACTGCCAGAAATTCATACGCTGCGTTAATGGACGGCCCTACAACTTTGACTGCCCTAACGGTAAGATATCCTTTTTTTCTGATAAAGAAAATCTATTCCAATTTCTATCACAGGCCTGTCCTTCCACACCGATACGCTGATGTGCGATCATCCGGATCCGTCGAAATGTGCTGGTTATAACTAATCTCCGAACATCGTTCTCGCTTATTTGTCTCGTACTCTACACTTTTATGTAAATATTGCTGTACCATGCAGCGCCTTTGGTAGGCTAAAATCGCTTTGTACTAATGTATCACCCCGGAAGTCTTTCCTCTGATTGCACTTTTTTCGTGGTATTTACCTTCGTTGTTACTGGTTCACTTATCGCAGTATTAATAAAGAAACCTCAGCTTGTTATAATTTACAATGTGAACAGCAGCAGTGGGTTTAATGGCCCCAAATTTGTCAAGTGAATCTCTTTGAAGTCTCAGGTATTTCCACACTTTTGCACTTCCACCTTGCATTAGATAGTGGTAATTTATAGGACGAAAGTACATAAAAGTGAATATCCTTTCTCAACACTAAGTGAAGTAGTTAGCCAATCCCCAATACACTTGTAGACCTGTGCGGAACGTTAAAATCACAACAATGACCTGTAGAGCTAGAACAAGTAACTGAGAAAGAATATTCGATGAATGATGAAGAACTCGATGGTCCTTACTTAGCAACTGAAACGTATTTCTTAACGTTTCAAATAATTGCTTGCCCGGGAGATCCTTCGAGAAGTTCTCTGATACTTCCTAAAATTCCCTGATGTAGTCTGCTTTTGGAAGATTTTTGGAGAAACCCACATGAGCTGTTTTCTTCGAAGTTTCAGGAAGATATAGGTAGTTAACGACTACATAGACGGTATTAGTGACTATGAAGGGAATTAGCACCAGTGTTGTGCCAGCCTTGTTCACGGCAGTAAGCAGTACGGCAGTGAGAACGCCTCCGAATACATTCTGAACATAGCTAGTCTAATAAGGAGGTATTCATCAACCTCCTGATCGAGCAGAGTTCCTGATTAGGTAAAACCACCCGATCAGGCGAGACACGCGGCTTTGTTAAAACAGGGTTGGCGCGACATCGCCCAATCGAGCGTTCGTTTATAACGCGGAGAAGAACCCGATCAGTTCAGGAGATTTATAAGCGCTTCTGGACAATGGACGATTTAAAAATATTAGGTTGGTGCAAAAAGAATGAGCGTTTTTATTTTCTTGCTTTAACAAAGCAAGCAGACTCAACCCAACAAAGGGTAAGGGGTATTGTTCGATAGAGCAAAGCAAGCTCTACAACATGGCACTCATGCCTTTGCGCCATGCTCGATCCACGGAAAGTTCGAACTCAAAATCTAAAAATTTCCAAATGCCCAAAAAATCGAAAAAAATCAGATCTTCGTCCAAATAATTTCTACGGACCTCCCACTCGCTCACATCAATGCTATCGATACCTGATATCCATATGTGCGATTGCCGTATTTTTTGCTTGACTAGAAACTGAGAAAACGAAAATTTCCCTGATTTTCTCAAAGCAATGCTGAGCCGTTTTTACATATGTAGTTCTATAGTACAAGCCTAGGTAAGCACAACTGTAGTTTTTCAGCCTATTTCGAGCGGTACTTTTCGAGAAATGTCGATTTTAGCACTAAAACTGAAACGAAAAAATCCGAATTCGTTATTTTTCGAAAACTACCGCTTGGAATAGGCTGAAAATCTACATTTATGCTTACCTAGGCTTCTACTATAGAACTACATATGTAAAAACGGCTCAGCATTGCTTTGAGAAAATCAGGGAAATTTTCGTTTTCTCAGTTTCTAGTCAAGGAAAAAATACGGCAATCGCACATATGGATATCAGGTATCGATAGCATTGATGTGAGCGAGTGTGAGGTCCGTAGAAATTATTTGGACGAAAATCTGATTTTTTTCGATTTTTTGGGCATTTGGAAATTTTTAGATTTTGAGTTCGAACTTTCCGTGGATCGAGCATGGCGCAAAGGCATGAGTGCCATGTTGTAGAGCTTGCTTTGCTCTATCGAACAATACCCCTTACTCTTTGTTGGGTTGAGTCTGCTTGCTTTGTTAAAGCAAGAAAATAAACACGCTCATTATTTTTGCACCAACCTAATATTTAAATGAGATTTCACGAACCTGAGCTATACCGACGATTGCTGTGCCGAGTATTTTATCATCGGGAAGGAAAAGCTCAGGAACGATAGCATAAGCGCTTTCACCACTAACAGCAGCAGCAGAGAGATCCATTGCAGCGAGTATAGCCAGAGTTGATGCCACTGGCATTCCAGCCAGGACTAAAAACTTAAAATCATAGTTTTTTCCGAGCAAGTCACTCTTCATCAAAAAGCACCCGAATGCGCAAAAAAAGCAGGAAAACTGCTCTTGCGAGCGCAATTCTTAGCGTTGGAGAGTAGGAATGAAAAGCATGCTAAATAATGAAATGGCCACATCTATTCATATTTATTAAGCACTGTGATTGTTTTTCCACGTACAATCTCTTCTATATCAACGTATAAAGAATGGCTTAATTGTTCAAAAAATATATCATAATTTGTTGTTCCCACTCAAGAATTTTGTTCGGACTAAACGCCCTGTGTGATTCTCTGTTTTAGAAATATCTAAATCACATGACTAACGTAATCATCACCGTTCTTGTTGAGAAGTTCAAAGAGACAACATTTTCACGATTTCTCGCTAAAACATAGTTTTAGTGTTGTAGTAGTTCAATACTAACGCTTTAAAGCCAAAAGTTGCGCGCGGGAGTTTTGGCGCTGGTGCTTTTCAGCGCTTGAGCGCTTTTCGGCGAAGTATGATGGGTCCATTTATATCCGAATGAAAAAGTACCTTTTCCGAAATTTACGGCTAGAATTGCTAAGATTCCTATGAAAACACTAAATAGCGTTGGCAGTAGTAAGAGGGATCGTCTAGTGAAGTCTTCGAAACATCTAAATTTAACAGATTTTTCTCAAACCTTCCTATCACAACCAAATATAAACTTCAACAGGATATGAACTTACGACAGAAGACCTAAACTTATAAAAGCTTGAGGCAATGACATAAATAACGATGCTCGTTGCGCAGTACCCATAGTCATACCAAATTTACCAAAAATATGCGTTGAGTATGAAATCCATAGCTGAAACCAAACCAAAGTAATTTAATGTCTCAATCAAATCTAATTTTCTAACCCAGTCATCAAGATGGACGAAACTTTGGACAAACAGTCCTAGTAACAGAGGTCTCACGAACTGACCATTCTGAAAAGTACTATTTAAAGTTTGGGATCCACTCTGATTGCGCTTTGGTTCAACTTTCGCAAAAATTAGGAATCACGGAAAAGTTAATAGCGCAAGCGCTTAGAACCACAAAAAAATAAAACTGGAAAGAACTAAGCCAGTGGCTATAGACTGGTTTTGACTGTGTGTCGATCCTATTCGTCATTGTTTTTCTTATTTAAGCAATTTTCCTAGAAATAGCCATCTATCGCAAATCTTACCTTAAACCTTTCCCTTGCAAAACCTATCGTTGACTGGTCAGGATCAATAGGTGCATCATCGTTTTCCTCATATTTCTTTCGGTTTCCATTTTCGTCAGTGTAAACAGCTTTCTAGAACCTAAGGATTTTTTGTAGCAGGATAGTGAATAAGGAATTATTAGAATAGCCATGAGCATAGAGGCGAGTCAAGGACAATATATTAGAATTGGAAAAAAGTTCTCGGACATTTCTAGATCTCCGTTATATTCCGAACTCTGATGCATGTACATGCGCAATAATTTGCATCTGTACTCTCACTCGCCCGTAGCTGAAATTTAAGCAAGTGGGAGTAGTCTGGGATCGATGGGGGCGGAGTTTGCCACTTTCCAGTTGTCTCGTTTTTCTTGTTGCTTAAGATCAAATTCCATCCGAACCGTGCATGTAAGTGTGTAAGTATGTTAAGATATAAACTGGAGCATATGGGGTCTCATGACGTTTATAGAAGTTGGAGATCTGGGTTATTGCAAAAACTTATGTTTTAGAATTTTCGCTCGAATTTTCAATAAAAACATTGGTAAGGCTTGCGCTTACCATAGTTTTGCAGAAATTGCTTTCCTCTATCCATTGGTGTGCAGCATGCCCCAATTAGTACATCAAAACAAAAATTTGTCTAAAAGCAATGTCCGAGAACTTTCTTTCTAATCAATGGAAAGAACGGAGCAAGAAGAGATCACCTAATCACCTCAATTGTATAAAACACTCCCTCGATCACCTCAACTTCAGAAAAAAGGGATGAATGTTTTGGATAAAATATTTTCAAGGTCAAGAATTTGTAAGTCTTGGAGGCACTTTACAATTTCAATATGTGCCAATACTAGCAGGACTGTAATGCAAATTTTTACTTTTACGCTGAAAGATTTGAGAAACAGCAATTCAAACTTAAAGGTCTCTGTAAACATTCTTGCCGATCTAATTATCCAACTATTGCATGATGAGCATACCTGAATGACAAGCAAGGCTTTTTTAGAATCGTCTTCCTTATAGACCGGTGGATGGTATCTGTAAGATATGTATTAGGTTGCAAAAGTTTTTGAGTAATTGAAACAAAATTTAATAGCTGTATAAGCCTTAACCCTATAATCATCAGTGTGTTTGCTAGAATTAGTTGTAGTTACGCTCCAAGACAGATGTTAAAGCGTAACTTTCACAGAGCTAGTACGCAAGAAGGAAGTTTTCGAAATGGCGGAATAGTGTCTTATTGTGGCAGGCTTCAATCTCGCATTGAAATGTAAAAACAAAAAGTTAGTCGAAAATGTCATTTTACAAGAAAAATTCTCCTAAGTCTACACTTTCTTCACGGAGATGCAGTTTGAAACCAGAAAATGACCTAGAACTCACGTAGAACACTGTGACCTTTTCGGGCCTTACCCAGTATTTTTGCTGAAAAACTGCAGCAATAAGGGGATTCTTCTTGTAAAGCGTCATTTTGGCAAATCATTTGTTTTTGCGTCTTCATGCGAAATTGAATCCTGCCATAGTAAGGTATGGAATACTGCTATATAAGGAATTTTTACAGATGCTCTAGGGCTAACTAGAGGACCCCGATTTTAAGCGTCAAATCAAAGTCACAAAAATTAAACGCCTCATTCGAAAGTTTCATTCTTGGCGGCTAGCTCATAACAAAGTTACGGTATCCTCTATTCTTGGAAACTACGCTGATAAATTTTAGTGTAGTGCATAGTTATGAATTTTGCTTGATTCACGCAGGAACTTTTGCGTCAACCTAGTACAATCGTGCACATAGAAGTTTTTCGAAATATAATTAAAGAAAATTCTCACCTTTTATTTTCTGGCGCACTAATGAGTATATAGAATGCAGGCACGAGAAGAATTAGAGGTATACCCATAGCAATATGCCACGATGACGGATTTCCTAGAATCTCTTCCAGGGAGATAACCATGCCAGCCAATTCACCCAGACATGCCCAGACTGTCTGTAAATACACTCATTCAGATACCAGTGATTGAAGTTGTACAAAATTGTCTTACAAGTGTGGCTAAAGCGAGACCACGGCCATGGTGGGGTGGCAATTCAGCTAGCATGACCGTACCGGCTGTCTAAATCAGATTCATGTGCCAACTGAGCTCTTTGATGTCTGAGCACCTAACCTGGACAATACCTTGTCCACATCCATTAATAAATCGGCCGACAGTGGCTGCTACCATCCCCAGTCTGATATGTACAGTAAGAAGTGTAAGAAGTATTCCGATCAAGTCTAGAGCGGTACCTGAATGAGGAAGGGACGAAGTTGGAATGAGGCTGGACTTACTTAAAAATTTTTCATAGCCCTACAGTCGAACGTTTGAAGAAGGGTGAGGATTTGCAAGATGCTTGCCCCTTTTTACTCAAGTTCTAATCGAAGCAGTTGACAAATCTAAAGCTTCTCTCGCAGTTCACTCCAACACTTCCCATTCAGCAATTCAGTTTTTTTTTTGAGGCGAATGCCGAGGACACGGAAACGAAAAATAATAAGTGCTTGCAGTCGTTTTTCTAAAATTGAGGATTTTCACACTATAATCTTCTTCATTTGATTCAACTTAGTTACTTTTCAAATGAGGATTCAGATGGGATTCGTATCATAAAAGTTTGCCCTTGAACAGATATTTGAGTATTGAGCTTTGCAACTGGGACTATTAGTCGCTTTCTTTTTTGAAGTCTTGGAGTACCGTAGCTGATAGCTTGAGCCACGTTTCGGAAATTTAGAAACGAAGATGATAGAGAATGGGCGTTCTCTTTTAAATAACTGAACACTTCATTCCAAAACTCGCTATCGTTAATAAAAATTGGGTTACAGACTACCAGCTGAGAATGTTTCAGAAACGTAGTAATCTGAAAATCTGGCACTCCGCCAAGTACTAGCAAGGGACTCAAACTGAGAAAATTTCCACATAGTTGCCTCAGAGCTTGCTATGTAGTTTCTTGCTCATTACGCATGTTCTTTGGGAAGTCCCCTGGTTCCAGTCATTTGCCTTACTCTACTTTCGCTAGCGAGTCCATGCGTACGATGACAGCGAATTTTTCAAGACCGGATAGCATCAACATAAATTTCTCTTGATTGAGGATGCCGTTCCCGAGGGATAGTTTTGCATTGGAAGTTTATTTCATCCGTAGTTTTGGATATTCTGGCTACACCATATGCCATTCAGACAAGAAAAAGCACATCAACATTTATAGCGTGCTTCACATCAATCTTCAGTCGGCTAACCATTTTTTTCGGTGTTATTCAGAGAGAGGATGTATATGTGAGAAAAACGAACCAACCTAATACAACTGGGTACTTCCGGCCATGCAATTTAGAAAAATATATGGAGATAAAACAACCAAATGCAAGGCCATAGATTCGCGAAGATACCATGACCTCCCAAGCAATATCAGCTGCAGTATTTACGAGTATGATATTGAGGTGAAAATTCAGAAAGGAGCCTTTTCCTCACCTTCTTCTTTATTCTTATATACTGTCATGAGAAAAGGCCGCGCAGCTGGCAGCAGATTGTCCATTACACTATCCAAGTAGAGCTGAAACCTCAGTAAATTGCATCTTATAATGCCATCACCTTCTGAAGCAAATTTGGCTTTGACACCATATAAGTATTGATTAGGAAAGTATACCACAATAATTCATCTCTCAAACCTGGATCCTGGAGAAGATTATGAAAATCTTGCAATATCTGCGACAAGACGTCATTGAAATTCAGTCAGTTTTGGCCTACAAACGTTTATTTTTTGAAAGCGATCACAATGATCACTAAAGTAGCCCAGGGTAGCTCAGCACGAATCTATTATGTGTAGCTCCGAACATTATCAGAACTGCAAGAGATGACAAGACCGCAGCAGGAGTGAGGATTTTTCGCATTTCTTCTCAAAGTATGTAGATTTTAAATGTAAGTCGCAAATGGTCAACAATAGATGTTGTGTGAGCTTTTAACCTACGTTGCAATTTTCGGATTTCTTACGACCAAACTCAGGAAAATGAAAATTTCAGTGATTTTCTTTTGGCCCTCTATCTATACAGCGTATACCAGTACCAGATACTCAGTACTCTGTAAAAAATGTGATTTATTCTTTCGAACAAGAATAAAAGCAAGCAAACTGGTTGGGAAAATCAGAAGTTATGTATTTTTCACAATGGTGCGACAGAACCTTTATGCCAACCCAACATTTTTGGTATTGGTTCTGAGTAACCTTTCCATGATAACAGTTCTATCCCGAGCCGAGGAATTAAGCCGTCGGCAAGCTATATTTCGATTTCGTTCAAGCTGCTAGTCAATCTTTCAATGTCATGATTTTTGACCCACGATTGCGCAGTTTGTCCGAAACATTCTCTAAACCTGCTTTTTTGAGCTTTTAAGGTGCGAGAATTAGCCTGCGTTCTCTTGTAATTATGGCAATTATTGCATAAATTTCCATAGACAATTGAGAGCAATCTTTTTATATGAGCAACGAAAACAGTGGGAAAATGTAATCGAAGCCCTTTCCATTTCCTAATCCGAACGTTAGTATAAAGTGTTGACTAAATTAACCACTTTGCATATGAGTTCAAAAACCGACTTGAATGCTCCCGAATACAAACTTTTTAGGCCACTACTCAGCAATTCAACAAAACATGAACAAGTTGCGAATGTCGACTGGACTATCAGTTATTAGGCTTGCGCATAATTTCTTTGACAATTTTTATTTTTTCTGGGACATTCCAGAATTTTCCCGCAAATCTCTTGCCAGATGATTGAGGGATATGAGTGCTAATCATCCGCATAACCATTAACGCAAGAGCATGCTTTTGTACGGATTTTCCGAGGAAGTCTAAGTAACAACTGGATAGTGCAAATCTTTTAGGAAAAGCAATTTTTCTCTCTTTTCCATTCTATAGATCCATAGAACAAGACTGCCGAGTTTGAGCAGGTTCATGTCAAAAGGGAAGGATACTTACAAGGGAATGCAGAAGTCGAAATGGTCAAATTAAACAAGCTATATACCATTCGATGCAGCATAGAACGCTGACTTCGAATCTGTCTCCTTATCTGCTTACCGCTTCTGTAAACGAAGCTATGAGCCGTTTTATTGCGAAAAAAACGTACATAAAACTGCGAAATTCAGCACGTCGTTGCCCTCTCAGCTCATTTTTAGATGTGGACTATACGAAGTAACCAGCTGCAACTAGCTGCATGTTTTGGCTCAGCATTAAACCGAACGCACCTCTGTAAGGCCAAATCACTTTGATGCATGATTTTTTAGCAAAATAATGGCCTTTGATGGCTTATAGCTTCATCCACAAAAGCGATAAGCAGGTAAGGAAGACAGATTCGAGTCAGCACTTCATGCTGCATCTACTGGAATGCAGCCTGTTTGGATTGGCCACTTCGACTTCTGACCACTCCCTCGTTAGTCGAAGTGGAGCTTCCATATGAGATGAGCATTATTTTATAGAGCATGGAATGCTGACTCCTTCTGCTTTCGTTGTCTGCAGAGCGCTTCTGGTAGGGGAGTTACGGGGATTTTTTGAGGCAAAAATGCGAGGGTTTGGCTAAGGTAAAAACAGGTGCTGAGGCCTTTCCGGCGCTTGAAAGGAGTAATGACTAGCATAAGTTTATTAAGCTGATATTAACAGCTTAAATTGTCCTGGTAGTAAGCATGGCCCCATCTGAGCTCACAGACTACAGTTCTGCATGATTTTATTGTAGCCGACGTTCAAATTTTTGCTTCGAAAAATTCCTATAACTCCCGCCCCCCCCCCCCCCGAAAGCGCTTTACAGCTACCGGATGCAGATTTGGAATCAGCGTTCCTCGCGTTGTGAAACAGTTTACATTTCATATGAAAACGCAACTTCAACAAACCCTTTACTTGATACAAACATGTCAAACACTAAAAATCATCAAATTTAGGAAGTTTCAAGAATGTATCATGGTTCACTATACCGATTTAATAGAGCATGTGAGTGTTTGAGGAAGGTCCTGAATATGGTTTTCGAATTTTCTGGGTACAATCTGATGTGCTTTCAAAACACGAATTATATTGATTTTATTCGGATAACTTTACGAATCGAAATAAAAAACAGCTAGAAAGGGGAGAAAATGCTGTATCGAACGACACCCGAGTTGCTCGCCGGTTGAAGTTCTGTGAGGTTTGAAAGGACCAAACGGAATTTGATAGCATCAAAGAAACAATTTCTAAACTTTTGAAAAGCAAGCTATGGGAAGGAAACAAGTTGTTTAGCATCCTATAAGGTTTGCTCTATCCGTGGGTTAATTGGACTTCTTCTGGAAACCAGAATTCAGGAAAATAAGAAAAATTGGCAGTGGCAAAAAGCATGGGATCCAGATTTTAGTAATTTTTAAGAGCTTGCTCACTGCACTGCAGAAACATGATTATTTGAAAGAGAAAGAAAAAATGCATCGAATGCTGCCAAGGCTTTCTATCTTTGTTCTATGAATTCCAGCCGTTCAGCAAAAATACTTTCGGGAAGACCTAATATTTCCCGCAGAATCTGTGTGTTTTCTTTAACTAATTTTTTAGAATTTTTTAGACTGTTTTCACTACAGTCAGATGCCTCTAGCATCTCAAAAGTAAAAGTATGAAATTTCAGAAAAAATTCAGAAAGTTCAGGAATTTTTCAAATATGCAGTTAAATATGTAAGCACTTGAAAACAATTTTGAATTTTTTTATCAAGTAGATTTCTTGGTTAAAATGGCAATAGTGTGAAGATGTCATTGCAATCAGCCGCCACACTACTAAATAGAACTGCTTTTTTGAAATTCTTTCGCTAATTCTCTGTTTACTACAAAGAAATTTCAGTAAAACTTCACCAACCCTAAAATTTTATGAGATTTGAAGGAATGATCTTACCATAAAATGGCTAGCTACACCAACGCTGAGAACTACGAGGGCTAAACGAAAGTTTGGCGTTGGCGAAGGGCATATCGCAGTCGCTGCAGATATACGGATAGTTACATCGCCAGATTTCATACCTTCAAATGAAAATCATTGATAGCAGATTTTTGGGCGATCAAACAAATCACGAACAATGCGATGTAAAGGCGAAACTCAGTAGTCATAAGTTGATAAACAAAGGTCAACAGCAAACGTCAGATGAAAACATTCGGAACGAAGCATCGAAGTCGAGCAGCAAGAGGAAGGAAAAGGCGCTGTTAGCATAAACATTGCAATGCAGCTCGCAAAACACAGATGGGCCGCTGTCTGAGGTCATTACATGCCATCAGATTCGCAACGAAAGAGGACACCTCGAAATCTTTGAAGAAAATCCAGCATGGTGAAGGATTGTCTTTGTTCGACATGCTTTCTGCAAAGCAAGAACTATTATCGGCACACGCTTGCGAGGTAGGGTTTGAAAACATACAAAATCTGGACTGATATGAAGGGGTAAAATATCTCCTAGTACGTCCGTCCTCGTGGACGTCCAGGAAAATTTTTTTAAAGGGGATGGGCGCGTCAAAAATTTCTTGACGTCCATGGCGTATTACGAAATATGTAGGGTGCTTTCCGAAATTTCTGAGGGCCTATACCAAAAAAATATCTCTAAAACACATTTACAAGGCTGATACAAAAAATAATTTGAAAAATTATTCTACCAATTCACAAAGGAGAGCAAGTTTGCACATTTGACAACTTCTTCGAATATTTGAAATGATCTCTGAAAATTCAATGATCCAGAACCCCACTGCAAGAAAAAGAGCTGAAGAGCTGTGAAAAAGAAACCTCAGCTATAGCGTCAGTGCTGTGAAATGCTAAGATGAGCATTCAATTGAGACAAGCTGTGCATTTATGAAAAAGCTATGTAAGAGCTTTTGCCTGATACAAAGATAGCCAAACATTTTACAGGCTTGCAGAAACTACAATTTTCGAAGTCAAAAGTTCAAGCTTTCCAAAGGCGGACAAGAGTATTGTATTCATAATGCTGATGAAGGTACATTATCAAATAATGAAAATTGTGACAACTATGTGTATGAAGTAGAAATCGCCACATATTACATGTGAGTCATAAATCAAAACACTAGAATCGATCCACTGAACATAAACTTTTTCATCAAGCTTTCTTGCCAACATTGGGTCCTAATAAATAACAAACAGAAAAAAAGGCGAAGACTTTCCAAAGTTTTGCTGGAAAAAATCGAAATATATTATAGAAAAAGCTCGGTTTCTTCTACCATGTCTGTGCCAAAACTTTCAATAGCGCAATAGAGCTCGGGAATCTCAGGAGTCTGACAAAAAACAAAACAACAAGGTGCTGTAGATGGATGATGTGCTTCAGCAGCAGTCTGATAATTTTTTGAATTCGTTGGTGAAGAGGATGCTCTCTAGATAGAGTTCAGACTCATCTGCCAAAAAAACGTATTTATCATAATTTTCAAGTTACCCTCCCGAATTTTATATCTGAAAGAGAATTCCTCTCATTATATCCTTTGACTGCATATTGGCAAATTCGGCATGAAAATTTGGCAATGAGCACTATATGACTGGTGGACTTCATTGACTGGGACAAACAATTGTGAGCAGCTTATTGAATTTCATGGTTAACGGTCGCAAAAAAATAAATTGAAAAATTGAGTTGTACAGCTGACTTTTGACTAGTGTTTTTCTGATTCAGTTACAGCGATCAAAAATTATCAAAAAATACATACATTTCTCAAAAACGCAATTGATCTAGAATAGCAATTGTACGTTACTTTGTGGTTATACGAACCGTGGAAAATCGGAGAGATGATACGGATCAGTCCCGATCATTACAGACTGAACTTTAGCCGATATCAGCAGCGAAAACGATTATAAAAGTTTCAACCCAGCACATCATGAGAGCGCCCTTTACATGACAAGGTGAAGGATGATTGTCTGATTGTTTACGAATTTCTAAACAATGGGACGTTTCGCCATTCCGGCGGGGAAGTCGAACGCAGGAATTTTGACGCTGTTCAGATCCCAAAAATGCGATAACGCAGCCAGACAAAGCCAACGATTATATCTTCACAGCCAGTTGACTGTAGCAAGCGTTGAAATCATCAGACCAGAGTCAATGTGGCAAAACGCTTATGGTTTCCAGCAGAAAAATGCCACGAGCATTTCCAACATTTTTTGTCCCGCTAGGCAAATAATGCGCTATCGTTTGCCATAAAATCTCGTGGTCGCTTCTCTGGGAACGTAAAAATTCACATCAGTTGTTCAAATAATGCCTGATAGATATGCCAAAGTATTCTTTTGCATTTGCTAAAAAGCTGCGAAAAAAGGAATCGGAAAGAAGAAAAGCAGAGCAGTGTAGTGGATTAATTTGGAACCTATCGCCACAATGCCCTTTCCTCAAAATCTTGGTATAATTGCCAGTAGCTTGAAGTTTCACCTTCAGACTTATGTACTGAAGAACTACAGGAGCACATCATGAGTGAAAGCTGTCAAAAAACCCTTCTGACTAGGCAAAAGTAGACTGCATAGATCCATTACGAAAAGGTCTAAGGATGCATCAAGTGCGCTATGAAGAGTGCTATGGCGAAGTTCTTAATCAAAAAGACATATGAGATTTGGCCAATAAGTGAGATTTCATGAGCAACTCTAAGAAATAGCTTTCAAGCTATGTATCTGTGTTAATCGTCCTACTTTTCCATTTTTTAGTCAAAAAATATGCTCTTAATTGAGCTCTTACAGGAATCTATTAGGTTGGCTCGAAAGTTCTGGCTAGATCTGCTATTTCTCGAAATCCAACGCATATACATTAGATATAGATACCATTCGATAGAGCAAACCAAGCTCTACAAAATGGTATGCAAAATTTCGCACCAGCTTCAACCCACCGTAAGTTTGCACCCGAAATCTGAGCCGTACTGAAATTCAAAATCAAACAAATCCTACGGATCTCCAACTTGCTCACAAAAATTGCACGCCACATCAGACATTCATATGCACAGTTCCTAAATTTTTTCCTCGTCTGGAAATCGAGAAAACGAAAATTTTCATGCTTATGTAAAAACGAAGCTGTGCTGTTTTCACCCACGTAATTGAATAGCGCAAGCCCTTGCAAGTATAACCGTAAATTTTCAGCTTTCCGTAAGCCCTAGTGGTCGAAAAATATTGATTTTAGCACATGGAACACCCGAGTGAGGAGAGCTCAATTCGGTAATTTTCAGGAACTAGGGCCTGTACAAAGCTGAAAATATACGGTTATACTTCTAAGGGCTTGTACTATTCAATTACGTGGGTGGAAACAGCACAGCTTCGTTTTTATATAAGCATGAAAATTTTCGTTTTCTCGATTTTCAGATGAGGAAAAAATACAGGAACGGTACATATGAATGTCTGATGTGGTGTGCAATTTTTGTGAGCAAGTTAGAGATCCGTAAGATTTGTTTGAACAAAGATAATTTTTCGCGATTTGAATTTCAGTACGGCTCAGATTTCGGGTGCAAACTTACGGTGGGTTGAAGCTGGTGCGAACTTTTGCATACCATCTTGTAGAGCTTGGTTTGCTCTATCGAATGGTATCTATATCTAATGTTATGCGTTGGATTTCGAGAAATAGCAGATCTAGTTCGAAAATGTCTCAGAACTTTCAAGCCAACCTAATATGTGTGCTAAAGCAGCGCCAACATGCGTCTGGGAAAACTCTTCAAAAGCTTCCAAAAAATAAAGGTAAGTTCTAATTGCTAATTTTGAAAACTCGAGCGACTTAAGGCGACTCCTTTGCAAGATTATTAGAAATCGCTTTTCTATTCATCTAGAGTGAACGATGCCAAAAGAGCATACGATAACAAGGCAAAAGATGAGTTAATTTTCAACTAATTTTGAGGTGTTTTCTGAGACAAAATTTTATTTGTGAATAATCTATTTCTATTTGAGATTAGTAAAAATGATGAGTCACGACTGGCAATCAAACTGCTTGAGTGAAGTATTTAAGATGTGAATATTATGGGAAAACATGTGCAACTGCTTGTACTTTACTACTCTTGAATCCCGAACATAAAAGGATGATATATTGCATTTTGATCAAAGTACATTATTTGATCAATCCAAAGGTAATCGATGAAGAGTTAATTGTCATGTCTACAGAAAATGATGAATACAAACACGCAACATTGTCTGTTTTTGTAAAGGGTTTCCGAAGGAAACAATTGAGAAGAGTGAAGAATTATTCTTATGGTAAGGTGCGAATTCCAAGAAAAGCTGGGTACATTTATGATAAGACAAGCTTCTCAAAGGACTTGGCAGTAGTTCCGCGTGAATAAGCTACAACTCCCAAATGCTGTGTTTTATTATTTCTATAAAGCGTATCTGTGAACACGTGTTTTTTACACACGCATATTGTGAGAACCATGTCATAATCTATCGCTCATTGCACACAGCCCTTCACTTACATTTACAGCTGTAAAGTTTTGGTTTTTGTAGAAATGACGTCATGGGAATTTAAAAGTGAGTTTTCTCAAAAACACAGCATTTTAGAGCTTCTCACTAGAAAATTTTACGCCTGAAATATCTTTATCACAATATTGAACGTTAAACAATGCGCCGGTATAATAAGGAACACTTTCGTATTTGCTTCAATCATTCAACTCCATTGCAATACTTGCTGACCCGCAAAACAATCGCATCAGACTAGAACATCACAACTGTTACACTAGTATCACTCCGTTAGATTATTTAACACTTCATCATATAGAAACTCCAGTCCTTCGTATTTGTAACTGCCAGGTATTCTTGTCTCGTCAAGAATAACTTCGCCTGTGATGGTGAAAACCATTACGAATGATGAGAATGTTGTTCCAGAAATCTCTTCAGTCTTTGTTGCCACAATCACAGTATCGTCGGTACCTATAATAACGGCTGATCATTCAGATTAGTGGTGCAGATCTTTGAAACAGGCATTTCCAAGAGGCGCAGTCGTTGTAGGACCCTTATGATGACAACATACAGTAAGGGCACTTTTGCTATCCGCCTGTGAGCTGATTGGACAGAGCTTGGGAGATTGCTAGCCCACATCATCTGTCCTGGCGTACCCGGGATTTCCGTTCGGGGGGGGGGGGCAAAAATTTTTCGGGTGAGGGTGCATTGCGTTAGCTCCGAAAATTTTTTTGGGATGCTTCCCAAAAATTTTGCGAGCCATTGACCCCAAAATTCTAGAACAAGGGTGCGTGGCGACAGCCATGACCCCAAAAATTTTTCTTACAAGACCATTTTATGTTTTTAAAAATTTAAAAGTTATTTTAATTATTTATAAGTAAAAAAAACGCTTGTACACCTTTATAACACATTTAAGTAATTTTCAAAATTTCGCAACCCATTGGCGGAAAGGGGGGGGGTGGGCTTCCCGCCCCCTCGGTACGCCCTGTCTCTCCCATACTGAAAAATCCCACCCCCCCCCCTTATACTCCACTGCATGAACACTGCTTTATCACATTTACGACGATAAGACCCACCGGTGGGACGTGTTCTGCCATTTCGGACAATACGACCCACCGTTGGGTCGTAAGATTTTGAAGCTCTGGCTTCGCCAGTTTACGATGGAATACGGGGTTTTGGCAAATGATTGGGGACACCTAGGCGAAGCTCTAGCCAGAGTGGCCCAGGCTCGGGATACTGTAATGTAATGTTACGGCAAGTATACCTTAGATAGAGATAACCCACAGACTTTAGCTCAAATTCTTAGCAGAATAATGCTGTTTCCGAGAATTCAAGTATATCACGAGAAATATGGGGCGGCAGAGACTGATACTGGCCCATCAAAAATTATGGACTTTATTGATTTTTTGCATTGTTCATCCCATGAAGCTCAGATCTTACATACATAGGTTTTCTAGCATGCTGATTACGAATATGATAGTCTTAAGTTCTGATGCCGCCTTCTTACATCAATTTCTATATCATTTAGTCCTAATTTTTCTTTTGAAATTTCTACCGTACTGCTACCGTAGCCCCACTGTGGGACAATAGCAAACAAAGTGGACAATACGTGATCAGTACATGAAATAATCCCGAAACTCAGATCTTCGCGAAACAAGATGTTGGGTTCGTAACAAATTGAATACCGTAACCTAACCTTATAATGCCAAAAACTAAAATATTAGGTTGTCTCGAAAGTTCTGTTGTTCCATTTTTGAAAATTTGCAAATTTTTGGTATCCTGACGGATTTGCTTCCTAATTTTATTTTAGAGAAGTCTTCCTCTTTGTAGCAGTGTCTCCTTAAGCTTCAACTATATATTCATTGTAGAGATAAAAATGGAAGAGGAAGACCTCTTGAGTTTTGACCATTTTAACTTAAGTCGCCAAAAGTCTGGAGCGCTGCAGAAAACTTCAGAGCAAAAATTGTGCTGTTCGGACGTTCCATTGAGAAGTTATGATTTCCGAGAAAAGTGACAAATTAATCAATTTTGGCGTTTTCTATTGCGAACTCGAGAATCGTGAATTTTCATTAAAACGTCCAAACAGCATAAATTTTTCTTTGATGCGAAGAGTAGGTCATAGAACTTATGTACTGGCAATTTCAGATTTTTCTGCAGCGTTCCAGACTTTTGGCGACCTAAGTTAAAATGGTCAAAGCTCAAATGGTATTCTTCTTCCATTTCTATCTCCTCAATGAATGTATAGTTAAAGCTCATCGTGGACCTATTACGAATAAGAAGATTTCTTCTTTCTAAAGGGAAGCAAATCCGTTGGAACGGCAAAAAGTTACAAATTTTCAAAAATGAAACGACAGAACTTTCGGGGCAACCTAATGACCGCCAATAATCCCCTCTGGGAAACTTCTCGGAGACAAGCTTTGAATTTTTTGAAAAGGACTACCTTTTCGGACGATACGACCCTCGGGTGGGTACTATGTTTGACATAGCGCAAAAGGCTCTGGTTCGAATCGAAACGACAGCAGTCGAAAAATCGGCCTTTTCGTGAGTGTGTTAAGATCGTCACACGAATGTAGGCAATAAAATGTCCCTTCGTGGATATTGCAGATTGTTGTCTGAATGAAAGTAACCCAATGGTCATGCCTGCATTTTCTACCAAAACCAAGATCAAGTACACATTGTAGATCATTACACAATTGTAAAATGTGACGGTGGTTAATTCTTTGCTTGTTCTCCAAAACACCTATTATTCTTATAGCAAATCTTATCGGAGGCCCCTTAGCTGGTTATCAGCTACTCAAATTTCCGGAAATTTGAAGAGCTTTCCGAAAAATCCATAGAAGCATGGCTGTAATCACGCCTTCTTATCTAGACAAGTTCTGCGCCATTTCTGATGTAGAGTTACGAGAACTTACGAGGAACGAACTGAAATGCACTGAAGCCTCTGGTCACCATCTCCTTGCCGATTGGGACAGCTACGATTTCCTCCATGTCATCACTAGCAATGATAAGGACGTTTGCTCCTGCAAGTAGTTTCTGCATTAGACTTAGGTACAGCCTGTCCCAATGACAGTGTCGCTTGCTGCAGCAAGACTTGCGCGGCCCCTTAGATTGCGGCATGTCCGCTTACGGACACTTTCCCACAGGGGCACGAGTCGGCTCCCTGGGTGCCCACAGTGAGCGCGCCCTTCTTAACTCCGACAAGATTTTTCCAAGTTTTGCCCGATACGACGGAACAGGACTAGTCAGAACTAAGTTATGAATGAAAATTCAAAAGAATGGAGTTTTTCAAAACGCATGAGCAGTTCGAGTTGGAGCGCGTCATCAAGCCCCTTTCTTGTATAAGTTAAAGGCGAAAAGGAAGAAAAGGGAATTAGGTAGGGGATTTTGAGTCGCCAAAAGAGGTGGTCTAAAACGGAAGTATGCATATATAAGAAGTGCGCATTTGTAGCAGACGCCCGCGTGGGACCTTCCTGTAACCGACATACAGTCCTGATCCGGAGGCAATAGCCTGATTTGATCTTCTCGCTAAATGATGTAACTTCGAACAAGGAAAGAGCCTTTGCCGGAAAAAGTCTGACGTGAAACATTTCGATATTTTTACTCCAAGCCAACTCAGTTGACCCAAAGCCCCTCTGAGCAAATGTGATGTTATATGATCTATGTGACTAGTAGAAAGCTTGCTTATTTTAGCACTACTTTTGAATTTCGCGCGCTCGCGACATTGAAGCGTCAATCATGCACTAACGTCATGGTTAAGCTAGGCATCCTGTCTGCAAGGTGAAGTCTGCATATTTAACATGTACTATATACCCTTTGCTTTTTGACCTAAAATCGGCACAGGCATTAACAAGCGCCAAGAACTTCCAGTCAAAATGCAAGTACCTGTTTCCACAGTCGTTTCAGCATTATAGGCGAGTTTTGACATGTGCCGTGGTAGGAAGAACCATCTCTAAACCAATGAGAATACACAGCAAAGGACTTAGTAAGATAATTTAGAATCGTTTGCATCAGCGTAGTGCCAGAGCCGTGCTGGTGGCCACATGACACCCCGTTTTCGAATAGTGTTCCTCGATGACGCTAGAACGGCCTTGGCACGGCGCTGGCACGGCGCTGGCACTGAGCTGGGACTCAAGCATTGTAAGCTCACATTATGTATATCAGACCATTGTACCGCTTCGTGAATCACATATCCTGGAAAATGAATACCTATAGCTCCCCTGAGCATAATGTAGCGCTGAACCCAATTTTCGGTTTGGACAGCGCCTTCGCTAGAAATTCTCTGAAAGGGACCTGCTGAAAACGAAACCAACTTGCGGTTGAAAAATTCTCACACCTTTACGTACATCGGTGTGTCGTTCAAATATTCTCCTTCTGGTGTGGTGTACTCCCTTCCATGACTACCACAGTACAAATAGCCGCCCTTAATGGTGAACCATTCTCCCTTGAAGACTAAAAGCATGATTTCATGTCTGTGACGGTCACAATCTGTGACTTACATCCTTCTTCATTACCATCTCCTTTAGAAAGAATGACCCATGGAACTGCTTTCTTCCCATCCAATCTAAAAAAAGTTTGTTTCATTTTCTCGAACGTAACTGACCGCCTTCTCTAATCACCCTTTTCTCTCAACTTTTGCGAAAATACTATATCTAATGTATATCTAATGCATGTTTCAGAAAGGAATGGAAATTTCCAAGTTACATTTCTGTTACTACATAGGGTGTCCCAAGAGGAAATACACACTTTTTATTAATAACTCTCTTCCCGCAAAGTCTTTTGCTTAAATTGAGTACCGTTTAGTAGAGCATGCTCCAACTTAGATTTACAGTATAGAGCGAATTACCGATCGCTCTTCATAACTGTAGGATTACGGCAGAAACATCACAGCACACAGTATCATTGTGAATTAGCCGTTTGAAAAAAAAAAGTTTAAAATTCTGTAAAGTTATGTAGCAGTGTTTTCGGACATGTTGATTTCATCAAACAACTTTTCGCGGGTTTTTTAAGCATTTCTGGTGCAGTCACGTTTTTGAATAACACTGGAACAACGTCGTTGCACTTCACCTGGCATGAATGAAAGCTTTAAGGCGCAGGGCGAATATTATGTTTATGATTAGCGGCTCAGCTTAGTTTGATGGTAGAATTTTCGGCTCGTTGGGTACCTATCCTAAGGCTATATGTGGCCGTAGATTGCTTAGTTCCTACCGTTGCCGTACAGTAATGAAGCGATAGATAATCCTTCCTATACTGTGAATCTAAATTGAACCTTTCTAATGAGCGGTACTCAAAAATAAACAAAAGGCTTCGTAGGAAGAGAGTTATTAACAATTAACAAGTGCGTAGTTACTTTTGAGGCACCCTGTATAAGGCATTTGAAAAATAGTGACGATGGCGCAATCGTGCGCGACAGGCACGCCACTTCCGGAGATCGCATTTTCTTGGTTTTCATCTCTAGTTGAATGGTTTTTTTGCTTGTGTATGATAATATTTAGACACTGGAAGTGACTGAGCTAAACTTGAGGTAATGCCTTCTTGTATGAACGTTTTACGCTCCTGTGGGCGCAAAGTCCGCAGCAAAATCCATCGTCACGATTTTATAAATGAACTGTATGTATTACAATAGAACATTGAGCTTTCTCCAGAAAAGGAAAGTTTACTTGTAAACAACTCCCGTCTTGTCGTCTATAGTTAGGAGTTTGCCTTCGTAGTACTTCATGTCGCTCAGCTCCATTCCTCTGCCATTATAATTCAACTTGCTAGTATAGTTGTGAGTCGAACTCCAATGGATAAATGCTGCAGACCTGTTCTATAACGTAATGTAGATAAACATAGGAAGTTGAGCCAAGAAGTTTGTTGTAGCATGATTCTTTAGTAATATCCGGTGAAAGTCTCTCCGATTGATTTTGCTTTGATTTACTTCATTTACCGTATCTGCACACTTTCACTTTCATGTGTCTTAGCAAGAAATGATCCGTTTAGAATCTTTGTATTGCTGTAGATCAAGGTACAAGATTCATCGCAAGGAGGAGAATAATTTTTTTTCATCGATTAGGAAATATATTGGAAGCTGTCTTCTGCGGTCTACTAAATACGCATTTGCAGAATGACTTTGCGTCCTCTCCCTGTAATTTGCATTTTCAGAGATAACGTGAGCTCCGGCTCCGTAGCAAGCGTTACTTCCATTTATTACAATACACTTGATTAAGTAAAACTCCATCATAAATGACTGTGACCGAGACAATTACGAGCCTTTATATTCTCTTTGACTGCATCTTTTGTTTCGAAAGTGAAGCTGGTTCGTAGTGGGAACAGATTCTTACTGCCAAACTTTATTCTTCTTGATTGAATAAAAATCTTTAGTCCTGGTACATTTGGGAAAAACTACCTACACACATGATGAATTTTCATCATAAGGTTATGTGAGTTCGTGTTTCGGTTACCTGTATAGACGAAAACGAGAGATTTGGAATTTTTATGCTGTTCTGTCTTTTATAAGCTTATTTATAGGGTTGAAAGTGAGATCAGGCGCGCATGATCTGAGTGTCATATTAAGGGTAGGACTGAGGGAGTGATCGTATTAAGAATCGAATTCGTTCAGTTGCGAAGATATTACGATCAAGGTGAAGAAGAAAAGAGCTAGTCCGGTGGATTTCGCAGCCTCACCAGTACTGAAGGAATGGTCGTAAATAGCATACGAATCTATTCCGCACTTGAAGTTTCGACCAAAATTCAAATCTTTATCTTTTACCTTGACATATCATAAGGTCACCAAGGAAGCTTGCTGTGTGAAATGGGTATAATTTCCGTAATCAGCATGTCAGTTACCTCTGTGAACTTTACAAACCACTACCTACCGCATTTTCTAGTGTCTTTCAGCGTTTAAGAAGCCTGATTTTCAAACATGATCAACTTGGTTTCGAAAAAGAAAAAAGTCAGCTTGTTTATACTCACAACAAATAAAGTTCTTTACAAGTTTATGCTAGAGATCAAGCTTCATAGCGATCAAGCGTTCAAGTGTAGTAAGACGTGCTGCCAAGATTTCAACCAGCGCGTTTTTCACCTTGAGGGCTTCAACTCCACGGATTACCACAAGGCTGAAACAAGTCGAACCAAGTTTAAACATTTGCTGTGGAAGCTTCGAGGGTTCTGCTAGCGAATAACATAAAATTTGGGTAGAAAAGCTTCTTTGGAAATGAATTTACCTTTTCTAGTATAAGCATGCTAAAAGCCTCTTCTTGCTATATCGAAATTTGGAGCCAAACACTCCACCAGTGTTAATGAGCTTTGGAAATTGGGCTATCCCAATCCAAAATTAGTCGTTAGGTTGCGTGCGGTCGTGCAATCGAAGAAACTTGCGCCTACAGACTTCCAAAAAAAAAACAAGAACCATCCACTAAAGGCTGACCTTCTTCAACATATTACAACCTGAGATCCTGGAGGTAAAGCGGAGGGGTCGTTTAGGGGCCTCTGAGTACCATTCAATAGAGAGGGCTTCAATTTAGATTTACGTTATGGTAAGAATCACCCATCTCTCTTGGTTATTGTAGAATTAGTAGACATTTCCAGCTCACAGCGTAAAAAGTGTGTACTTACTTATAGGAGACCCTGAATTGTTAGCTAGCTGTATTTCACTGCTAAGCAATTTAAGAAAGTATTTCCGGAGCTAACTATAATTTACTCAGTTCTGCCCAATTTGCTCCGTTAAAATGACGCTTTGTGTAGGGTAAATCAATGAATGTTTTATTTTGTTGCAAGTATAACAATGCTGACTTTTTTCGTCACTGGAACTAACCTAGTTATTTTTGAGAATAATTTTCAGCTGCTAGGAAACAGGATGCTGGTACTGTAGGAGGTAAATGGTTTATATTGCTGATATATGTAATATAAATGCTGCGGAAAGCACATTCGCATTACATGGTAAGATCAACTTGGTGGTTTATGGTAGGTGCACTGTAAGGAATGGATTCGGTATTTGCTGAAACTTCTTTAGCAGAGTTTGGGTACATATGCTGCTGATGACTGTATTCGATCTTTGCATTAATCAGTGAACTTATTGCGGTTCTAGCGCTTTCGTTCTTCACCTTGCCCAGTCGTAATTTCTCATTTGTAGACGACAAATATTAACTCAACAATCTTGAAAGAATACTGCTTTTATACAAACTATGTACAGTTACCGTGTGTAAACGAGGACTGAACTCACTGCGTTTAGAGCCAAACTTCCTATAGACATTGGGCTATACCAGATGTTACCATCCTTCGCTTCATAGTCTAAGTCTGCAATTATCGCCAAGGGCAACAACAGATCATCTAAAAAATTTTTTTTGAACGGTGTTTTTTGTTTAGAAATCAGTAACAACATTTAAGACTTTCAACATATCAGTAATTTACCGTTTGGGTGAATAGGATGTGCAGGATGTGCGACGGCGTCGACTATGAGAAGAGCTAGCACTAGTAATTGCATGCAAGTTCGTCTAAAAAAATAAAATAACTGAAGAAGGTAGTGAATGATTCAAAGACATCGTTAGCTGCTTTATGAAATAACTGGACGAAGATGGTTGCCTCAGCAGAAATCTCACGGATAAGAGCTATGGTGGAAGAAGTACCAACCCGTGAAATTGGCTTCAACCGTCGAAATGTTGAAGAGAAAGGCAGTTTTACGCTTCCCGGTTTTTAAAGGTGTACCCAAACAGAAAACTATTGTATCCGCCACTTCTTGAATTTGCTCTAGCTTTGGTAGCCTAAAAGAAAAAAAGAAACCTGATGGGACAACTTCCTTTCACTTGTTTGCTGAGTAAATGTTCACCAGAATTATTTATCTATTGCGATCGCATTACAAGTACACTAAGGCTTAGCCCACCAAGGTTTACCACTGAACAAAAGACATGCACTGATATTCCAAGGATCTGATTTAAAACTGAGGAAGAGATGACATTTCCTCGAGTGTTCGCTTTCTGACCTATGGCCCATTAGAAGTAAAGTGATGTGATTGGTGATGAGCAGGGGCAAAGTATAGATCATTAGAATTAGTAGAAGAATAACGAACCCCTTGAGACTACTCTCTCAGAATAGCAAACCACATATACAATAATTATGCCCGCAAATATCTTAGTTTGCGTAGAAAGAAATTCTTTGAACTTATGACACACATTGAAAACCACCAGTAGAGCTATTCTAGTTGCTTGTCATTTTGTACATTTTTATTTATGATGACCCATGGCCTAACGGAAGAACTAAGTTCCAAGATAGCTTCCCCACCCCCTCTCGCTCCCCATCTCAAATGAAGAAATGGAGACCCTTCTAATTCTGTGCCACCTCAGCAAAATGGTGTATTCACACTGTTTTTGCTACAGTGCTCTATTTCAGAAGGTATTAACAATTTTGCTTCGAACCTAACTCAGACAACTATGTATGGAATTAGCCACAAGGCTCTTTTCAATCTTGAGGCTCCTAACTCGCATTATTTGCTTTTCTCAAATGCTTCCTGGTTAGAGTCTTTTGTGAAGTCAGAAGGGAAGTGATAATTTGCAAATCTAGCGATATGTAGGGCTTCCTGTGCTTCCTTCAGCTCACAACTTCCACAGAAAATCATGAGCTTCTAACAATATCACGCGACACATAAAGTTCTGGAAACTTAGCGCGAAAAGCTTGCCCTACCTTTCTTTCAACCGACCTTTGTAAAGTAAATGCAAAATTTTTGCGAACGCTACTTTGGAAGTTTCTGTTGCATATCTACAGGGTGTCCCAAAGAAATGTATCGAACGTTTGATCGTTAATATCTCGCTTCCCAAGAAGTCTTTTGCCTTGCTTCAGGTACCGTTTTGTAGAGCTGGCTTCAACTTAGGTTTGCATTATAGAACGAATCACCCATCTCTCTTCATTACAGAAGGATTACGGTAGAAACTTGAAACATATGGTGTCAATGTGGAAAAAGCTGCCGTTTCAAAATTTTTCAAAAAAATGTGAAAACTTGTGTATTGGGGTTTTTATGGACGCTGAGTTCAATACTCAACTATTCACAAGATTACGAAGCTTTCTAAACGGTGTAACCGCACTTTTTAGGAACATTGAAAAATGGCCGCTGCCTCTTACCTGGCATAACTCTTCAATGAAGCATCATAATAAATTGGGAACTTTACATTTATAATCAGCAACTCTAATTAGCTTAGTGTATAAGTTTTCAGGCTGTTTTGTTTCCTTTCTGGGGCAAAATATGGCCTTTCATTGTTTAAAACCCTCTTTGAAGTTTCTACCGTAATCCTACAATAATGAAGAGAGATGTGTCATTCGTTTTATAATGCAAATCTAAGTTGAAGCCAGCTCTACAGATTGGTACCTGAAGCAAGGGAAAAGACTTCTTTGAAAAGGAGATATTAACGATCAAACGTTCGATACATTTTTTTGGGACACCCTGTATATGCGAATCGAAGAAAGCTGTTGTCTTGGAAATAAAAAACTATGAAATTTGAGGAGCTAAAAGGAGAAAACGAACAAAAGATGATGAGCGGCAGAAATAAACTCCAAAAAAGGCAAGTTCAGAACAATGTGTTTCAATGTTAGACAAAGAGCTTGCTTTTGAAACGGAAGCAAAAAGACGCGAAAAGTATTTGCATCGAAAGGGAGCCGTTGGAGCCGGGATGTTCCTCTTTGTAATTGCATCTCCAAGCCCTTCTACTAGAAACTAATTGTAGAGATAAATATAAAAAAGAAGACCATCCAAGCTTTGGTCATTTCGAGTTATTTCGCCAAAAATCTCAAACGTTGCGCATTAATGTGACATATTCAGCACATAAATTTGTGACCTACTCTTTGCCACTGAATAAAAGTTGTGCTGTTTAGATGTCTCTGTAAAAAGTTATGATTTTCGAGTTTACTATACAAACCGTCAAAATTGACTAGTTTGTCACTTTTCTCGAAAATCATGACTTCTCACCGAAACGAGGCGGCAAATTTTTCCCATTGTTGGAAGGTGTAGGTCAATAAACTCATTTACTGACGATTTCAGATTTTTCTGCAAGGCGTTGAATTTTGGCGATCTAACTTATAATGAGCAAAGCCTGAATGGTTCTCTTATTTCATTTTCATTTCTGCATTGAGTGCATAGTAAAAGCTCCTCAATATACATTCACAAATAAAAGACATCTTCTTTCCGATAAAGTCACAGAGATGCAAATTCTTCAAGATAGCGAAATGTTACAAATTTTCAAAATGCAACGATAGAACTTTCGGGAAGACTTAATGGATTCCTCTACAGTCAAGCGTTGATAGCTACACTACGCAAATCGTCTTCATTTCTTACTCGTTCATTCGGTACCCAGATGGTTTCGAGTATGGGAAGAGCCCTGGTAAGAAGGCGATGAGTTCAGAAATGAAGGCGCATCAAAGCAACCTGTGTCATCCTAGACAGCATATAAGGTCAATATGACGCTTTTTCGGGGTAAAAAATTTGAAGTGTGAAGTTTCATATGGGAGTGATGAGTGACCAAATTTGTTTGCGCGTGTGTTTGCATCGCAGATCATCATTTCGAGGGTTTTCGGAACTTCTATCGCCATCGTCATCCAACTCACGACTCACCATTTCTAGAGTGTAACAGGCGGATGCGCCTTTGAGTACATAGTTGCAATGATGTACTTGTAGTGAATTTGCGGACTCGGCACACATAGTAATGTTGTGGACGGATAAGTTTGTCCTCGTCTTCGCTGTTAAACCTCATTGACCAGAGAAACAAATAGAACTGTATTCGTGAAACCTTGGTTTACATTTAGTGCAGCATCGAAGTAACACAAGGCAATTGGATCTGAGCATTTCAATCTCGGTTTTAAAACAACTCTTGTAAAGAATGCAGTTGCTCTTGATACTTGTGGAGCCCTTTTTACTTTTCTATACAAAAAACTCACATCTTCTTGTTGCGCATTTTGCATTTTCTGCTACGATCATAACTTTTTTCTCGCTCATACCGTCGGTGGATTGAAAATAGTCTGATTTGCATTCTGAGTATACAATACCGCTCACATTTTTTGAAAAATAGACGCGAATGTATGGACATGTCCATACATGTATGGACATGTCCGTACATGTCCATACATGTCCATACATTCGCGTCTTTTTTTCAAAAAATGTGAGCGGTATTGTACTCTTACCCCTCGCATGTTACTAAAATGCATTTCGAGGGTATTGCGTAGTGGAACTCATTTAGCAGTATTTCCTTTACTATGGAAGTATAGGCAACTCGTTGCACGCAAAAACTACGGACGTACCGGCGTCTTCCTAATCGACCGCTTCTTCGTTTCTCTTACCATCTGCTGTCTCTCCCATGCACGAACTATCTTGGCCGGACGCAACAACAGCGCCCAGTCTTTGCGTGTCATGAATATAAACGTATATACAGTAAGTTTCAACCCAGTTTAGGCGGATGGACTGGCTGGAGTCCGCTTCGCAACAATTCGCGCCGTTTTGCAGTCTGCGTCTCTTCATTCGAATCTATCTCGCTGAGCCAATGGCGGTGCGGACGCGCTGCTCCACTTGGAATGCTCGCCTGGTCCGGGTTGAAAAGACTGTACTTGTGGCCGTGGCCGTTTGATATGAGATGGATATCGCCCTAAAGTACTTTTGAGTGCTGATTTCACATCTGCATTCTGTTTTCGCAGAACGCTTTTGTGAAAGGAGTTATGGAAGCCTGAAAATCCAGTTTTTGGACGGCGTTCGAGGGTGCTACTGCTTACATTGGTGGTGCAGTAATGTAGTGGTTAGCGTCTCACACTAAAGGCAAAGTGTCAATGGTTCGAATCGGTGCAGAGCAAGCCTTTCTGCATTTTCTTTGTGAGTCAGATACGCACTTGGAACCGTCTGCAGGTACTCACAGTGATGTTTTGGGCATAGTGGAGAGAATTTATTAGCACAGCAGCTGAAATGCGAGCCTTCCTACCGGGTTCAAACCACTGACGTATTGTCTCAGTGCAGCACGCTAACCACTACATTACTCACCACTAACCTACATGAGCTTTCTTGAACTTAAGGAAAGCCCAAAGCCAACAAAAAGAGTTTCAGGCTTCCATAACTCCTTTTAGAAGAGCATTTTGCAGAAATGAAAGGTAGATTTCAAATCAGCGTTTGAAAATGCTCTAGATTTGCATCTCATATCAAACGGCTACGGCCATTGAAATTACGTTCCTCGTAGCTGCTGAGGAAGTGATCAGTAAAGTAATGCTAGTCACCTCGACTTTGAGCTATGTTTAGTGATTCGCTCGAAGAATGTTTCTTGCTTTATTATGCGAATTGTACGACTTGAAGTTACAAGGAAAGATTACCAACAGCAGGTCAAAACTTTCAAGAAACGACGACATGTATAATTGATACAGCGCTTTCCCTATCTGTGGAACATTGTTTAAAAAAGATGGGATTTTTATCGTCCACAGCCTTCAAGATCATCGATTGCTGTTCCTACAGTATTTTTCTAGAACCACTGAAAAATCTT